TGATATTGTTCACAGAACGAACTGAAAAACTCAACCCATAAAAGACGATCCTACTTACATCATTTAAAATATAAATTGCATTAGGTTAAGGAATTGTCTACATATTCACCTCTACTTCCCTAAATTAACAGTTTTACAACAATATTTATGTCATATTAATGCTTATGTAGACAACTGTAAATGTAAATTTTTCTGACAAGTGATCTAACATTAAATTGAGCTATATTAGTATTGCTAGAAAATTTCTAAAAGCCTAATATTTAGATGTAGTTTATCACTTGATATGAAGAGTTAAATGAAATTAAATGGTCAGAAAGATTACTGTAGTAAAACTTGGACCTATGCATATATGTGCCTTGTCCTACGTTATAGCTGACTGACTAAGTCAGTGGAAATATATAATGACTCATATGAGTAGTAAATACTCTCGAATGAATCAATGACAATCATTTTTACTACTATTAGATTAGATCACTCTACCGATATATATATATATATATATATATATATATATATATATATATATATATATATCAGATATCCAATTCATGACCAGTAACAGAGAACCAGAGTATATAGTCTAGACAATACTCTATTCAACACAATTACAAAGTATTCTACATTCAATGAGTCCATGAAAGAAAATCACAAATTAGATGGCCAGTAATCTGTATCTGTCAGTTCACATTCAATAGTAGCTGAGCACAACTTACTTTCACTAGCCATACATGAAATATGATCACAGTTCATTTCGTATTTTTAATAATTTGTTTAATTTTTTTTGAGTTAAAACCTTAATCCAATTAAATTATATTTCAACATTATAAACAATTTTTTAAATTTAATTAAGCTGTACAAAATGAAAAAAGTTTACTTCAGTGGTTAGTTCCAGGTTTAGATCGTGTACGTTTAGATTTAATTGAAAGTGGAGATAATCGTCGTGTTCGTGAAGTAGAACAATTCTTATCTGATTTATACTCGAATCTTCGATTAAATGATCAAGGACGTTCTTCGTAAGTTATTCCTACCAAATATTATTTATTTGCCTTCAGTCAATTGTAGATTACCTCCTCCTAGCAAATACTAATTGAATGGTTAAGACATGAATTACCTATGCCCAACCACCACCTACTTAGATGCGTGATGCTTGCTGGTGCAGAAATTAGTTGGAAGCTAGGGATAGGTAAACTAATATGTGTCATCAGTCTATGACATTTATTGACTGTTGCGTTGAAGCGTCCAGTTGAGTTTAGACTACCTGGTTGGAGTCTGTGAGATTATTTTAGCCAATGATTGGAGACGTTGGATGACATTGCTCAAAATCGGCCACATTGTTTCAGATGCATTCACTCTTTGTTACCTTTTAAGTGCTTGGAGCCCTTATAGAGTTACTGACAGTCTCAGGTATGTGTAAAAGAAGAGGGTTAGGCATCCCATAGAAAAGAATCTTGCTAAAAAATTCTAGCCAGGAAATTATCTTGTATTTTCTTATTTCCCGAAATTATCCTTCCCACATAATATTGTCTATATCTAATCTTTTCTACTTCCGCTGATACTGTTACTATTACTACTATGACATTTATCTTGATCACTTCATCTCACAGTGTTGATATGGTGGAATAACTTGAAGTGATGCACACATGTTCTGATTTCTGAGTTGCTTATAACTTACAGGCTGATTTACATGAAACCAGTGCTCGTCTTAAGGATTCTTTTCAACTGCCTAACATCTAGTACTAAACTTATTATGTTACAGCAAGAGTAAACTGACAATTACAATAAGACTACTTTTCATGCACTATATAGAAAAGTGTTCATTTCTGTACTAAAAATGGATAATGAAATTTATACGAATATTCGTCAAGATTAGAACGAATAGTTTGACAGGAATTGGGCGCCGAGCTGGACGAAACGTTGGAATTATTTAAATTGAAAAAAATCTCACTTACCTTCCATGTGAACCCCCATTTGTCAAAAATGAAGATAATTTGCTTATTTTTTTAAAATGAAACATTGAATCCGAACCTATGTAAATTGTCTTGTCAGTTTTAAAAGGATAAATTTATATTCCCACCCACATAGCATCTTTAAGCTTGCGTTAAAGATGATTGTTTTTCTTAGTCATATTCAGAGAACTATGACACATGACATTTTCGTATTCGATAAACTCTAACAATCGTTTCTGATCGAAATGAGAATTAAGAATTTAGTGGCTTAGAAAATTACATCACGAACTGGTTTTAGTATAGACAACCATTCTAAACTTGAGTGCATTAAATATGTACTTCGTTTAATTATGGAACACCGTAGCAGTACACATCGACTCCATCAGGGATCGAACCTAGGACCATCTAGCCTCTCAGCGAGCGCTTAGCTTTAGACCACTGAATCAACATCCAGTCGTTTACTTGTTTAATCCCATCGAATGTATGATATCACGCGATCATCTTCCACTGTCATCGATGGGTAACTGTCCCACACAATGTGGCTGAACTCGACTGATCACGGTTGAACTCATGCTGCGAGATCTGAAGGTCGTAGGTTTGGAGTGTTACTAAGGCGAAACAGCTTCTTGGTTTTTCAGGAGCTGTCTAATTAAGGTCATTCCTTGATGTAAACTATGAAACTCGATAATCACCACAAACGCTCTGTAATAGTAGTTCTTTCTTTTTTCATCAAAACCTCAGTCAACGTAAAGATAGAGTGGAATAATGTGACATTTTTTAATTTTGACTATATGTAACCTTACTTATTTTTACAGTACGCGTCTTCTTAAATGCTTTTTTATTCATTTTCAGTAATTCGAATTCATCTACTGGTATACGTACTAGTGTATCCAACCGTTGGACTAAACTAACTTCATTCAATAATTCCAATAATAATACTGTGAATAGTACTAGTCACAGTACTGACAGTCATAGTACTACTACAAACACTAATACTACCAATACTTTTAATACTTCTAACAGTGGAATAAGTGTTCCAGCATTCAACAGTACTTTAGACACTAGTCATAACTCACCACCAGAGATTGAAATGAAAAAACCTCAATCTCGAACAAAAAATTTACGTTTCAATTTTCGTCGACATTAGTAATATTAATAGTAATGATAATTTTATCACAATCTACATATGATACACAGTTTGTTTTTTTCCTTCTTTTATTTCCTTTCAATTAACGGGGTACATTCTAAGATTCTGTAATTTATGTGATTATCAGAAAAATAAAACATAATTTTTGAACCTACTTTTATTTTGGAACAATGTTATTTTCTTGTGATCTGTACTTATTATTATAGCGTATTTTTATTTATATTCATAATCGATTTGTAATTTATCTTCTTTGTAAACATGGACATAAAGTATTTTATAAATGATACAACATAATTCTGAGTGTTTTCATTGATATCTGTATAAAACAACTTGTATAATATGAACAAATATGGTAATAATCGGTGGTTCGTTTTCTTGATTTTTGGATGACCTATTCGTAGTAAAACCATGCTTCAGTATAAGGTTGTTATTACTGTAACTGATATAGGTATTATTGTAGTCGTTATATATATCCCTAAAACCAATATGCCTTAACATATCAGGTAGGCTATGTTTTGTTTGTTTTACGGGTGATATTTTAAATGTTTTTTTTTATTTTGAATGTTAACTTTCTTTTCCTACTTATTTACTGACCAGTCTTTCTTGTTGAAAGTTGGGTTTTGTAAATTTCACGTATTTCGTGTTTTGTTTTTTTAAAGGACCGTTTTCATATGTTTGCAATTGAATAAAAAACAGAACGATCAAACCTCTTATTGATTATTTTACTAAGAACAAAAAATATGTTTATTTTACGATTCTTATAAAACTGGAAACAACAACTCGACAATTTTTTTCTGTACACAATAATAACAAATTCACTTTTTATAATTATTATTTTTGAACACCTTAAAATGTTACTGTATAAAATTGATGTTTTCAAGCAATGTATGTACGAATGCCCGATTGTTTTGGTGTTTACCCTATTCGAATTCATCTGACATTTCTTCAGAGATGGGGGAGAGTTTGTCGAACTGTTATAGGTTATAACACAGGTTGAATTTATTTAAGCAATCATTGAAAACTAGGAAATACTGGAAATTTGTTTTGTCCTGTTATGAGACTCAATAGTGCTCATCCATAACCTACCCGCGATGGGACCCATTCTAGGTCGAAATAACTGCCCATTGTTTCTTTTTTTTAATTGTCTAAGGCCAGTTCATAACGTAAACTATAAAAATTCAGTGGGTTTGTAGGTATCAAGGTTGTATTTTGTAGCTTTAAGTAAACTAGTCATTGGGTTCGGTTTTTTATTTACTCTGAGAAAGTGGCTTACATGAAGTCACGAAACGTCAGAAATACAATTTTTCTACTAATTGAAATATAATAAAAAATAAATATATTGCATAAGTGTATTTCGAAGTACATATTAAAAACATTTGTTATATATTAATTCGACTCATTGATTATTGTAATATCGCCAACCGCTCAAATTTAAGTCAATCAACTATAAATTGATTGTTCAGTTTGGTATCAAAGATGTCTTCAGTTGTGTACATATGACAGAATACTTTAGTCCTTGACACAGTTCAGTCCCGAACTTCGAACGAAGTAATTGTGCAACGACATTACACCGTTATTATTTGTTCAACGAACTTTAGGATATGACAATAATAAAATTGGATTATTTTATCCTGCGTTTAAACAATTTCCTGATTAGTCTATAGCAGTATTTGTTTACATTGTAGAAGATGGATATTTTTTCTTGGTCTGATAACAATAAACCAATTAGACAGTGATTGTAATTGAATAACGCATATCTCCTACTTGGACGTCGTAGATGACCTGACCCTTCTATCCCATTCACAGAAACAAATGCAGGTCAAGACGACCAGTGTAGCAGCAGCCTCTGCATCAGTAGGTCTCAACATACATAACGGAAAAAGGATTATCCTAAAACTCCCACATACTGTAGTGAACAAGAACACCAATGGGGACAATCGAATGTATTTGACAACAAATTACAGAACTAGTTAGTAAAATCTAACAACCATATATTAAATGCTCAATTTGCAAAATGTCCATCGATTGTCTCAAACGACTCAGACTTCCTTTGTTCTTGCATTTTCATACAAATCGCATTCTGTTTCCATTCTTTATTGTTCGGTCTTCTTGTCTCTCTACTGCTAGACATTCTGTTCACGACAAACATCATATACTACTTATGTCTACATAAGTAGCAGACACCACAATACCGTGACATTACCGATGAACATGGAGGATCGGATGCAGACGCAAAGGCAGGGATTGGCAAAGCAAGGGTCGCATTTCTACAATTGAAGAACGTATGCAACTCAAAATAAATGTCAACCAACATCAAAGTCAGAATCTTAAACATAAATATCGAGACAGTTCTACTATACGGAGCTGAGACTTGGAGAACTACCACAACCATCATCAAACTGGTACAAGTTTTTATAAACAGTTGTCTACACAAGATATTCAATATCTGTTGACCGGATACCATTAAACGACGGATATCCTGCGCAGCAGTTCGTCCTTTTATACTTTACGGCTGCGAGACGTGGTCATCAAGAGTAGAGGTTACTTTCAAGTTGCTAGCATTTGATCACAGATGTCTTAGAAATATTGTTCGCATCCGCTGGAATCACGAGATAAGTAGTAGTGAGGTTAGACGCAGGGTATTAAGGAATGATGGTAACCACATAAACGAAGGGTAAGGAGGAGAGCAAGAAGCCTCGTTTGACTCTGATCTGTCAGCTGCCCCTATGCACGACTTTGTAGTGTAGTACATAGTATCAATTTCGTATCATAATGACGATCTTCTCAAGTACATCACAGTGTCGAAGTTTCTGTAATGTTCTATCCACACTGTCAAATGCTTTCTCATAATCAAGGAAGTTAATGTACAGTGACGAACTCTACTCAAATGACTTGTTCAACGATCATCAGTAGTGTCGCGATTTGGTCTGTGCACGACCGATCCTTACGGAATCCAGTCTGTTGGTCTCAAAGTTGGGTGTCTACTGAATCTTTCTCTCAGTTCAGCAACACTGTTGAAAACCTTTCCCGGTACTGATAGTAAGGTGATGTCTCTGTAGTCCTCACATTTTCTCAGATCTTTCTTTAGTAATTTGATTAGATATCCTTTCCATTATGTTGGCACTTGTTCCTCCTCCCAAATCTTCCCGAATAGAACGTAGGGCATGTTTGAAGTTGCTTTTACTTCTGACTTTAGTGCTTCAGCTGGTATATTGTCAGGTCTTACTGCTTTCACATTATTGATTTGTCTGATGGCCATGTTGATACGCTTGATCGTTGGCGGAGTGACATCTATAAAAAAATCTTTGCGTGCTCCTTCGATGTCCGGTGGATCCAATGGAGCCGGCCTATTCAAGATCATCAGTGTTCTTACCCAACTGTTTCTCTGTTCCCTAATCTATCATTGGTAGTTGCATAACACTGGATAACATTTATTGTGATTCCCTCCTTCTCTGTTTTGAAGGACGCTTTGATAATCCCTAGTTCATGAGGTTTCCACCCTTTAAGTGCTTTACGTGCTTCCTTGCACAGCAACTCCCTGAGCGTGGATCATTTTCTTCTTCGGGACTAAAGCACAGCAGCATCTCTTCTTTTCTGTCCAGCTAGGGTTTAGTGGGCTTCACTGATTCCGAGCACTCAAGTTTTACCTCCTCAGTTCCGTAGATATTGACCGGTCCTCACGGTCTCCCACATTGTCCGAGCATTCTATGTACCTATATTAATTGTTGTTCTGGTTGTCAGAGAAAGCATAGACCTCATGACTTCCGAAGAATCTCGGCTTTTATCACGAGGGGTCATAATTCTTCCTTCAACGTAGAGTTTAGATGGTTTGATTAGCTTAATCCGGTTAGCGTTTTTTTAGCAAGATTTTTTTCTACGGGATCGGGTCGGTGACTCCATGTCCAACCCTCCTTCTTTACCCAAGCTTGAGACCGGCAGTAACTCTAGAAGAGCTACAGGAGAACATAAAATAGGTAGTTGTGTACGAATTATTACTCAAGGCAGTCTACGCTGAGTGTTAACTTTTATTATTAAGACATCATTAAATGCAAACAGTAAGTGTTTATGACATTCTAAAGAACAATTAGATTATCATTTGTAAACCATAGAACCAACAAATAAAAAAGGCAACAATCCAAGTGTACATTGGGTAAAGAGATGTTTTATTGAAAACGATAGACAAAAGCATTCACAAATAAATCGTAACATCAAGTAAATAATTAGTGTAAAAAGGTAGTATCGAAGTTATTTTGAATATGAACGGAAGAAAACCCCCAGTTGATTAAGCTACACATTTGAAAGATTCATCCTAAGCAATAAGTATGCTGAGAAAACAAAACAAGAAATTACTAGTCAGTATTATGATAAACAAAACTGAAATAGTAATAGTCAACAGAAAAATTTAACTTCTCGCAAATTTCCGAAATATCATTTATTAGTTACGCTGTTTTACAGTTTCAATGGATTAAAACTAATTTTAGTGTTAGTTTTATTCATTACTATGATGTGAATATTGAAATTTTTACTTTGAGATTTATTTATTCTATTCATACTACTAACCATAGCTAAATATCCTTCAATGCGTTCACAATGTCAAATTTCCTATTATCCACACCAATAAACATTAAAGTAACATTCCGATCTATACAATACACAAAGACAGTGCAAATTTAAACTTAAATCAAACCATATTATATTTACATCATTCTCAATAAAAAAGTAAATAAGCAAAATGTTATACAAGAAACTATACAAGAAAACTGAGTGGTGTAATGACCGGATTGGTTCGCATTGTATGTTTATTTTAATAACTTAATAATTGTCTAACAAGAGTGTAAGTAATCGAAAAGATGCAGCGTCAACAGATTTGTAAACCACCAACTATTCAGTTTGTGCTTCTGTGATTTAGATTGCCTTTTTTTTACCAAATATTGATTGAAGATTATATTTAATGATAAATCACGTAAATTGTAAGTCAATCGTAAATTTCCTTGGATGTTTGCATAAGGTGGGGCCATTAGGTGACTTATCTTGAGGTCAAACCTACTTCGTAAACTGTGAAACTTGCTATGAACATTTATCGAATGAGGCGATTAGGATATCTTTACACATGCGACTCGGAAGCTCAAAGAATTAATATTTGTAGATAAAAAAATCACACAAACTACTGAAATTTTATCCAGAGGAATAACAGTCAACCTCAAACGTTTAAACAAATCTTCCATCCATCGTAAAAATGCATGAATAACTCGAAGAAACACTTTGACTTACGAACATGAAACAAAACAGAACTTTACTTTTCGCCATGAGAGAGGATTTAAAAAATCTAACTAACCTAATAAGTGCGTAGTTTTGGAGGGACAGTTGGACAGCTCTTAGAATCCAAGGTGGTATCAATTACAGGACGATACTCCAATTTTACAGCACCCGTTTTAACATCCTGATAAGACAGGGTATGTTTTCGCCAATGTTCTTCAAATGGCCTAGGTTTTTGTCCATCGATAGGTTTAGAGTAGTCGAATTCATCTAATCGATTAGGAAAATCTTCACGTGCATGAGCACCACGCGATTCTCTACGGGCTTCAGCCCCAACAATAGTCTAAAATTACAAAGTTAAAAGCATATGAGACTTGATATATTCCTCACGATAAATGTCCTCTTCATATAACTGGACATGTAGTGCCAATCACTGGTCGCTTTTTAAAGACATTTAATAAATACAATAGTGCATTTTTGAACCATATAATTGATCATGCAGCTCGCAAAAGAAATAATCTATAAATAGTCAGTGTTAAGAAAAACGTACTTTCTACAAGAATTCTAATAAATACTGAATGAAAATAACATAGTACTGAATATTTAATGTGAGCACCATTTACGGCTAATAAAAATGACAACATCCATCAACTTAAACAATAAAGTTCGGGAAATATACTCATCCCAACTATCTAAGCAGTAAATATCGTTATGTGATTTAAACTAAAATAGTGACTTCATACTGTTGATCGCTGGGTTGAAAGTTTCTTTCTAGTAATTTGATTCATATCGCCTCTTGATTTAAACATTTCAACTAGATCACTTGTCAGTTTGATCAACTCCCGACTGTAGCTGCTAACTTAATGTGATGCTGAGGCTTGCTTATCATAATGACCCAATCGAGCTGTATTAGCTGGAAAAATGTTCTTTCAGCTTCTACCATCCCAAACAGGTCGGTTTGGGAACGGTCAGTTAGTCAGTTACAACGTAGGACCAGGCACGTATATGCATCGGTCCAAGTTGTCAAACCGTATTAGCACAGCAAGATGAACACCGGATTCATAGAAGTAGTTAATTCAGTGGTGGTAATATATAAAAGAAAGATTGCATATAAGGATATAGTGCAGGGAGAAAGAATTAGTTCATAGAAGGAAAGATATGAAGTGATTTTAATCTCATAGTTTAAGGGAAGACAGAGGGTGTATACATCTACACCATTGTGATTGATTCTGAGCCATGTCACCATGAGTTTCCAACTATTGGTTACGACTGTCACGAGGACTCCAACCAAGTAGTCTGCATCTACCAACACGGCTCAGACTAGAGTTTGTGTTTTCAAGCACTGATGCCTCTAACAGCACTCAAGACCACTGTATTCACAATCAACCTTGGGGAACGGTAAGACTGATGGTAGTAAGCTCATAGTCTGAGGGTGGAGGCGTACTCCTAACTGTACTAAATCGTGATGGCGGGAAGGTGTTTCCTTTAGGCAACCAGGATCTACAGAGATACTGCCTTATTACAACATAAAGAAGGGGTTAAAAATGTCGGTGTCATACCTTACCTCATGGAACTCCATGGTATGGCCTTTAGAAACCCGGAGCCAGCACGCTACAAGCTTCTCACAGAAAAGCTTTATGTGACCGACATCAAACAGCTGTCTCTTAGGCTCTGCAGTCACGCTCCCAGGTTGCTGTGACTACTACTAACCCAGTTTCCTTCACAGGGCCCTCAAAAAGAAATATCCTCCCGTGATGTAGGCAACCGGCTAGTGACAACGTTACTCATACTTTTAACAGAACTAGAGATTGATTAACAGCATGTGTATAGACAATAATCTATTCTTTTGGGTTATGTTCAGTACTAAAATCCCTTTAGGGTGCTGTAATTCTTCACCAAGTAAGTAATTTTCCATGCTTACAATAAAATCACTCAGATTTTATATCCTTACGGTGCAATGAAATATAAGGTACTGAAAATGTAATAAAAACAAGTGGTCTGTTTGAGATGATACATACAATTGACTAGCTTTTTGAAGCACTTAATTTAATCATATTAAGAACATAATAAGAGCTTCCTGTAGTACCGAGTAAATATGAAAAGTTTAGTGCATGAATATACCATTACCTTCATCAAATAACAGAAGCAAACTCAATTTGGAGTGCTGTGAAACTGAATTGACTGTGGTGTTTTTGTTATATGGAACTATACTTTATGGACTTAATGATCTGAAGGTTGTATTCATTACAGATTAATTGTAGTTGGGAAGCTATATAGAACTAGGGAATACTGGGCAGTTGTTTTGCCCTGGTATGGGACTCGTTAGCAGTGCACATCCACGGACCTTCCTAGGATTCGAACCAGAACCTTTAGGTCTTACAGTGGACGCTTAACCGTTAGAATCACTGGGTCGACGTTCAATGATACAATGTCAACTTGAATCGATTTGCGATATGGCGTAGTGATTATACAATGCTATTGATGACCTATCAGTTAACGCAGTGTAAATGGTCCATATTGGTTCAACTAAAGGGAAGACTAATACAACAGGTCATAATTTCAAACCGCAAAATTAATTATGTACACCTTTATAAGCATACATACGTAGCAACCATGTTATACCACAATGAAACATACCTGTAAAGCGTTTAGCATCAGATTCTGTAACTCTAACGCTTCCATTAGGTCACTATTCCATATTTTGCTGCGATCACTAACTTTTAAATCATTCATTCGAGAAACATATAATTCATACATTTTTTTACAGCCCTCTTTGAGAGTAGGACCATCACGAAATACTGCGGCATACTCTTGCATTGTTCGCTGCATTTCTAATCGAACCTATGTTTTAACAGAAAATTCAACACTGTAAAATGTATGCATGAATATAGACAAGTTATTTGCCTGTTCGGTACATTCTTAATTATCGGAATATTCAGTAAATGTGAAATAAAGCTGTAAAAACTAGTTGTACAGACTCTTATTTTGAGGACAGAATGAAACGAGTGATCGCATGAACCTTTATTTCACATTCATAAGGTCAGGTTAGCCCTAAGTAGTTAGACGCCTAAGATACCTAAAAATCTACAGAATGGCATGTATGTTACTCAGCAGTCTATTTAGAGCTACTCCATGACCGAAACATGATCCACTGGGCTTAGGGTACATCCATAGATTACAGGTAATCAACCGAAGGTATCTTGTGTGGCAAGAAAGACTGGTTCAGTAATGTTAAGTTCAGAGTAAATCCTTAAATGGGGAAGGTAATCTCAACAGATAAATGTGTAGACCTGAATCAACTGAAACTTATAATCACCATGTCTCAATGAACCTGCTTCGGTTTGGGCACCCGGGCAGTATCACAGCCCTCACACAAATCAATTGAGATTCGTGTGGCGCATATGTATTTGGTGCCTACTTGTACCAATACCTATGTGTTAAAATAAATAAATAAATAATGAATCAACTGAAACAGATGGATTGTTGTATTCATGTCATTAGGATTAGTTTAGGGAGCAACTAAGGGTGAACAGTGAAGTAATGGATTTTTCACCTCAATCAATATAAATATATGCAAGTTATTCGTATGATTCTCCTGCCCTCAGGATGACAGATATCAATAATTCAAGAAAAGTCCAAATTTAACACAAAAGAGATTGGTAAGTTTATTCCTTTTCATTGTGTAGCGAATCTTGAACTTAATGCATTTTTCTTCTTAACCCGTGTTGACTGTATTTATTTATAGAATAACTTTTCCAGCTGATAAAATACCATAATAAAATTCACAAAATCTTGGTTTAAATCTTGATTTAAAAACTTTCAATATGTAATAATAAATATATTTTTGTTATATCCCAGTGGGCTACTCTGAAGAAGTCACTTACATTAAGTCACGAAACGTCAGAAATACAAGTTTCCTACTCATTGGGATATAACAAAAATATATTATAAACTCGATTTATTTAAGACTATCAAGTCCAACCTTGATATGGATACCTATTTCAACACGCAACGCATATGCTTAAATTCATTTTCACCTACAGGGTTTTAACAGCAAAATGGTGTTGTCAAATGGCTCGAACCCTACACTAAACTGGAATGTGGTACATAAAACATAAAGGCACCCCGTTCAGTTTGAAGTGAAAAATTGGGAATATTGAAAATACATCAGTAAAAATAAAAAATACTACAAAAAATAAAGCTAACTCACTTGTGCAATTGGATAACTTCCATTTGCGGTCCTGAGTTTTTCATAGTTAGCGATGGAAACCTCTCCAGTATCTGGTTTTAACTCTGGACCTGCGTCTCCAGGTTTATTTTTCGCAGCAATGTCAAGCGCACATGCACGACCAAACACAACTATGTCAAGTAGTGAGTTGGCACCTAGTCTATTAGCGCCGTGAACCGATGCAGAAGCAGCTTCACCAGCAGCATATAGTCCAGGGACAACCTTATCTTTCTTAGCAACCGGATCATAAGTCAGCACCTATAGAGGAACGCAACATGTACTGATATAAATTAAAGTTCGTTTCAAGTATTAGCCTTTAAATAGAATTGAGTTATTTATGCAGCAATAAAACCGAAGATAAAATAATCACTTGTTAATCTTGAACATTAATTTATTATTATGAAAGTGTTCCGGTGTCAACTTTAACGTTATATTGTTCCACTCAGACAGTTTACATGATGAATATGGACTAATCTATTCCGATATCAGTCATGATTATCTCGAATTTACGCGAGTGATTAACAGACGTACATAAAGTGGTTGAAGTTTACTACCATAGAAAGGTAGAGAAAAACAAAGTGTAGGGTAAAGCATAAATGTACATCAGTTTACCTTGCTACACTTCAGACCAGTATAGAAGGAATTTACAGTGGGATAATAAGATTGTGAGAAAACTGAAAACGAGGACAATTGTAGACTGAAAACCTTTCAAGATTAAACACAATGATATGCCCAAACCTTAGGAGAATGAAAACATTTGCGATCGGTTTTGAGATACATCATTTAGTCTATGTATGAAGCGACTGTAATGATAAAACGGTTTCTTGTTCAAAGACGTGAAGGATGATTGGCAAAATACAGGTCCTACTAAGTGAGGACTAATGTATATGATAGACCAACGGGAAGTTCGTAATGCACGCAACCCTATAATGTTTTAACAAGCAGGATGATTTCATTAAGCATTTAAAAATCAAGATGAGGCCTTTTTATTCGAAGAAACGGACGGAAAAGTGGCGAATGGTAAATAATATGTTTGAAATTCCTTTATAGGTTGGCAATAAACACCAATTTAATATAAAGTCAGTTGACTGTCAATCATCACAAGCAGTAAAATGTTAATCGTTTCAGTTGGGTATTATTATTTTATTTGAACACATAAATATTGGTACAAGGAGGCAGTAAATACATATGCGCCAAACCCCGAACCTTCAACCTAAAGATCTGACCCATAAGGCAGTGAAACATCGTGGGGAGATGCAGTCCCATGGTAGCCGGTAACCGACGATTGGTTTATATGCCATTTGTTCCCTCAGGATACTGGAGCCCATGTGCACCATTGGTTTGGAAGTGAGTAGGACTTCCCTGGCAGAGGCTATATACGCATGGCTACGTGAGAGCATTTCGAGAGGGTGAGTGAACTCTCCCCACACTCGGCCGTACCAGGGCATTTGGAGGCGTAATTAGTGAAAAATTGCTCATCCGTTTAACTCAGTACATCTAAGTGACAAGGAGGCAGAAAATAGCGGACATTGAAAAACTGTGCAGCTTTTAAGTAACTGTGAAATGTCACCTTATAACGGACAGGTACGAAACAAGTGGTACCCTTAAATTATCACTTACGGTGCTTACAAGACATAGTTTAGCTTTATTACTTGTGAGAAATGTGACATCCAAGTGTTTTTTTCATTAGTCTTTATAGTAATCAAAACTGTATACATAGCCTTTATCTTCAAACGACAGAGCCTAAAGGTCAACAAACGAACCAATACATCGTCAACCCGAATAATGTGAGAAAACATTGCATGCCGACAGAATTTCTTAAAGCACATCTTTAACTAACCTGTCCTTTATAATTTGTAGGAATTCCTCCCATATTATAGTGAACGGTAGGTAACACAGGAATAGGATCCCTTGTAACATCAACACCTGCGAAAATTTTTGCTGTCTCTGATATACCAGGGAGCCGACTGTGCAGTTGGTCTGCCGGAAGATGAGAAAGTTGCAAAAATATGTGGTCTTTCCTAGGGCCAACTCCTCGTCCTTCGCGAATCTCAATTGTCATTGCTCTTGATACAACGTCCCGGGAAGCTAGATCTTTAGCATTAGGAGCATATCTCTCCATAAATCTCTCTCCTTTACTATTAATGAGGTAACCACCCTCACCTCGACAGCCCTCGGTGATTAAACACCCAGCCCCATAAATTCCTTTGAAGTTACAGAAAATATCCACACTTACCTGTGGGATGAAACTGAACAAACTCCATGTCTTGATTAGGCAACCCAGCCCGTGTGACCATTGCCGTCCCATCACCTGTACAAGTATGTGCTGAAGTACAGGAAAAGTATGTACGACCATAACCCCTATCTGATAAGAGCTAAGACAAACGACATACCCTGTAGCAAGAACTGTATTTCTAGAACGGAAACGATGCAAAGTCCCATCCTCTAAGCACACAGCGATGACACCACGGCACTCGCCATTTTCCATGAGAAGATCCAATACGAAATATTCGATGAAATAAGTGGCGTCATAACGTAATGACCGGCCATATAATGTGTGCAAAAGTGAATGCCCAGTTCGATCCGCAACTGCACAACAGCGATGGGCCTGACCACCGCGCCCATAGTCTATGCTTTGACCACCGAATGCTCTCTGGTATATTTTGCCGTTCTCCAAGCGACTAAAAGGTACTCCATAGTTTTCCAACTCGATAACGGCTTGTGGGGCTTCTTCACACATGTAATGAATAGCATCCTGGTCACCTAACCAATCGGAACCTTTGACTGTGTCATACATATGGAAACGCCAGTCATCAGGCTCCATATTACCGAGAGCAGCATTTATCCCACCCTGAGCAGCAACAGTGTGAGATCTCGTCGGAAATAATTTTGTTATAATTGCAGTTTTGAAACCCTCATTTGCGAGGCCGAAACCTGCACGTAAACCCGCCCCACCTGCACCAACAATCACCGCATCGAATGAATGGTCAACAATAGTGTATCCGCTTGTGTAACTTAAGTTTCGACATTTAAAAGACTGGTATAAGTTGGTTAAACAGTTCAACTTTGTAGCTTTACGGATGGCATTTAGGGAAAGTGTCAGATGAACCATACCGAGCGCGTGTTGTGAAAGAAGCAATTTTAAAGCACAAACTTAATTTTAGATTCAGTTTGAAATGAACAGGAGGCTAGGTGGTCTATGTTAGTTCTAGCAACGGAGGTCTCTCAGTTATTCAACTTTCTTCTCAATGTATCGGCAGATGGGGCTTTAATCACGCGTTAAAGTAATGAATGACATTCGTTGATCATTCAAAGGGAAAGTCGATGGAAACAATGGAGAAACGCTTCAAAGTGTCTGCTTTTTCTCCTTTCCGGGGGAAACAATTCGGATTTCCCTCAAATATCGTTTAACTATCTACTTTTCACCTAAATATACGCCGAATTGTCTACTTTTGTTCCAACTCGTAAAACACCACTGGCATAACCCCAAACGTCTACTATGTTCGCCTTTATTCCCACAATACACCACACTAAACTGCAATCCGCGTGTGAAATGGCATATGTTTAGATAAATTTATAAAAAAGAAAAAGCGTATTACACTACAAACTTATGGCAGAAGCTTGAGCGTCAATCATTATGCATTTTCATTGTAATTGCCAAGTCATTGTTATTTGAAAAGCTCTGCAAAAGCATAGGTGATGTATTGTTAATAAGGAATCTGTAGTTAATTTCAAGTTCAGTGAAAATCAAACACACTTTCTCAAAGCTTAGTTACAGAGTTTCCCATGCAAGTAAGAAAGTGAGCGCATGTTTAAAATAATGTTTATTGAAAACTAAGTTGAACGTTACAAATGTTCCTTGAATCAATTCTTTTCGTCACGCCTGTTCGGCTTTTGAGAATCGAAATAATCTTCTTGTGAATTCTGATGTGCGAAGAACAAAAAATGTTACAACGATATCCGAATGACATGCTTTGGCACAGCTAGATACTTGAAGCTTCACTTACGGTTATGTTCGTTAACACTGTGGACTGAACCTTTAGAGTAGTGAGGAAGTTATCGCTTTAAATCAGTACATACATATTCTTGTTTCTTTCAATTACGCTTTATTAATTTGTCTTTCACGTCGTGAAAATAACCTTGTGTCGCTATATCGTACAGTTTCGCAAAGTCTTTTTGTTGACAGATGATGACTCAAATCTATTGCTTAATGCACCTGAAGTTTAAATAATAGATATAAGTTACTTCGTGTGCGGCCGGCATTTCTGAAGTGCTAGTTTCGACGAAGTGCCAAGTAGCCTGAAATTACTGACAACATCAGGTGTCATGAGGTACGATAAAACATATCGTATTAAGGTTTTAGGATCACTATCCATTAACCCCGTTAACATGACCATCTGTAATATGAACAAATTATCAAATTAATGTTGTTGACTTACAAATCTGTCCCTGGTTTCTTTCTGCTGCAAACAAGTATCCAACATCTGCAGTTCACCCTCAGATGACAAAGGGAACTGCTGACATGATAGTCCACAATCGAATTGATGCGGATGTTCGCGGTCACCGGACTTCGACAGTAGCAGCTTCACATTTGTACTTAAGTCAGTAATAGCTGACGATGTGTTCTGCAGCACTGTATGCAATCCATCAAACCTGAAAAACTTCACTTGATCGTATAGGTGACTTACTCGGTCGCTAACGCACTGCCTACGCGCAGTGCAAATACCAAATGTGTATGAGTTGTAGCTGTAAACAAATCCATCAAATAAATAGCTCTGTAAGTTTTCGACATTGGATGCTGACCACATTAGTTTTAATGGAATCATCTAGCTGAAGGCGCTCGGTCATGCATCCGCACCAGATCGCGTGTGGGAACGCCGTGCTCAACATCTACTGCAGTCGCTAGTCAGTCTAGACCAGTCGATCCTCGATGTATTGATAGCTTATCAATTATATCTTCGAACCTCCTCACTTATGTCTCTTGATTTCATTTGGTGGGTACGCTTCATATTAGAAGGTGGTACTGGTTAAAGCGTTGTCAAACTCCAAATACCTGTTGCATTTTCGGAGTGTTATAGTTACCTTGATCTGAGGAAGACACGTCTCAAATTTTTTACCACATCTATGTGAGACCTTACTCAGAATATGCCATACAATGAACTGGACCACATATTATTAAGAATACTGACACATTTGAGAGTTTTCGGTTTACAAGGACTGGGTTAGTGACAGGTATTTACAAACTGTTCTGCGATTGGCGATTGAAACGCCTGGACCCTTTACTCTTATCATATAGTAGAACTCTGAGTGACCTTGTTTTGGTATCCTGTACCTTACATAGTGATCAGAACTGGAACGGAAGAAATAGTGTGAAAGTCCTTCCAACTTGTTTTATCAGACAATATAGTTATTTTTCTGTCCTTTGTCCGGGCCTTGTATTTCGACTTTTACTCAGTTCTCTTGTAACCAAGTTTTATGTTCTTCAAACTTGTGTCCCCAGGCTTTCGTTCTTTGATTTTGGTTAAAGATTTGCCTCCAGTACTTAGTTTTACTGTCGCATGTTTCCGGAACATCGACGATAAGATCTTGCTTGACTAAAATCACAGTTACGGTCCAGTTTATGATTGTTCACTTTTGACTACCTGCTGGAAACGGTCACCTGGACTCCTACAGATAGAAATTTGGCCTAATTTGTAGGAAATATCCTTATTCATTGTGGGGCACCTAACACTTACTGGTTAGCTAATCCTTCTTCTGGTAAGTACATTATTTTGTGCCAGAGAAAAGTTAGATTGCATAGCACAGGCTGTACCATATGAGTTATTTTATACTTTTGATACATTTTGCTTGTTTTCTTAAATTAGAACCGTTTAGATTGAGTGCGAAGTTTGTGTTTTGATGTAACTTAGTAAGAGTCTCTGTGGTGATTGTATAAAATAACGATTCGTTCGTACTTGATTTGTTGGTTGATTCCGAAATTTAAATACAATACGTTCGTTTGTGCTTACCTACTTCTATTTGGCTTAAATTGCACTCTTTCAGTAATTCCTAGATAATACGACAGTTCTGTGAAGATAGGCATGACAAATTTATTTGTCATAGCCTGTACATTTACCAATAAAGGATTGTACGTGTTGTTTAAGTGCATGACCTGTTCTTGCATATATATATATATATATATATATATGTATATGTATATATATAGTTATTATTAATAACTTTTGTCATTCCAATTAATTACATTCAATTATGTTAATGGTCTCATAATATTTCTTACCTCAATGTTAAATTCTAATACATATTTGATTGTAAGCAAATGACGAGAAGCCTAGAAATAGAATGAATTCATACTATTCTGCATCCATATTTGTTCTGGCTTTATTTCAATTCAATAAGGGAACTAATTGCATGAAATGATATTTATGATGAATAGGACTGTGTACGGTTGTATATTAACAACTTATATAACATTAAAATTTTTTTAAAGCTTATTTTCTTCAACCTACATTATATAAAAACTATCAACATCCATGTTCAACACCACCATATTTGAGGGGTGAATCAAATATAAAAGGTTTCAAAGAGCGTTTTTGTTTTAAAATGTGATTTCAGTCTATTTTTGACGTGATAACCGATGAATTGCACTAGCCTGAGTTTGCATTGTTACAAATAACCACATTTCGCTTACTAATCATTCACCCAGGTTGAGGACAATAAATACGTCAAACTACTAATAAACTTGAATAAAAGCCATGTAACAAGCACAAACATTACGAAAATTGACGTGAGACGGAGAAAAATGCTGTTAATAGCGTATAAATAACGACACCCAAAATCCTCAACAACATGCAACATGTGGGTGAAAACACTTGGCTTAACGTCCTGGCCGTCCCCAGAAGTGAGCAAAAATGAGGACGCAACAAGCGACTATGGTGTTACATTATATAAAGGCATATAAGAAATGCAAAATCATACAAGCATATAGACGATCTTTGAATCAAGTTCAAATAGCCAAGTTTGTACTCAATAGTATCATTACACCCAGGTGATCGAAAACTCAAGGTTTCCATCTCAGCAGGAAATGATATTCTGTACCGCGAAAAACTGGTACAGTAAACCATGAGGTACCGGTTAGATAAGCTACGAAAAAGACCAAAACCATTTGCTTATCAATTCATTTAGATGAGTGACCGAAATCGTTAACAGAATTGCACGTTTTCAACAAACATCAAATGGGATTTCTAATCCCTGGAGGTAGTCAAATTGGTTAATCTGAAGTGGCATTGGTACTAACCACACAATATTCAAAGCTGAACATGAGATAACTGGAAAAATAGATATTCAACATTCACCACGGGGCAAAGGCCAATAATGGTGAACGCGAAAAAATTCGGTCCGCTCGGATGCCATGGTTAAACCTTGCAGGCGTGATCACTCTTGTGTAACTTATCTCTTTTATTCATATTAAATGTATTGTTCTATCTCCAGCCTAAATGTGCTCTTCATCATATGTTGGTTATGTTTATGATAGGACAAGTTAGTGTAGACAATAATGTGACTTCCTTGTAAGATCATATAAATTAGGTAGTCACATCATAATAAATCTATAATTTAAGGATTAGGCCTATTATTATGATAGTACTAATAAAGAAGTAGACCATAGTTCTATAAACCATGCAGCAACAACCAGAAAATTGGTCGCTTAGTATGAAAGCTAGCAAACTACAGTGTTTGAGTAAGACAGAGTCAAAACTCCGTGAAAGACTATATGGTGCCAAAGAAAGGATCGAAAACTTTAATCATGGACAAACCGTGTAATACTAACTCCACATAGAGCAATGTCATGTATATATATATTTATTTATTTATAAGTGAAGTCATCACAAACGCTAATGAAGATGCCACAGGTATTCGGAATTCGATAACGATTTAACCAGTACCACCTTCTAATATGAAGCGTACCCACCAAATGAAATCAAGAGACATAAGTGAGGAGGTTCGAAGATATAATTGATAAGCTATCAATACATCGAGGATCGACTGGTCTAGACTGACTAGCGACTGCAGTAGATGTTGAGCACGGCGTTCCCACACGCGATCTGGTGCGGATGCATGACCGAGCGCCTTCAG